AACCGAGAAGATGGATTCTGGCTTAGCAATCATTGGAAGGATTTGATAAACTATTTAGGGTCTTAATTGATTGTTCACGCTTACGGTGGCTTTCAGACCACATCCATAATTTTCTTCTCCCCCCTTCTGTTTTCCGAACATAGATGGACTCGTCCATCTGAACAAACTGTCAAATCTCTCTCCGTGGTGCTAACGTTAAAAAAAACGCCACTTTTTTCAAATTTTCTTGCTGTGGTTTTCACACCTGATGATGATTGCTTGTGTTGCAGTCGAAACGTCGTGAGAATTTTATTGTTTTATATTTTATTATTTTATTGTTTCCCTTCTACGTGACTTTACCGAAAGAACCAAGAATATGAATCCCTGCAGTCACGAAAGCTTTAAATTAAAATTACAGTACTCTCCAACATAGCGATGTGCTGAACCAGAAACGAATTGGCACGTTCTGTTTACACAACAAACCTGACGAACTGGCTGTGTCGGGTGGTGGCGGGTTTAACGACACATTTTTCGTAAGCGATCTAACCCAAAACAACCTCTATTATGGATCGCCATGATTGCTTTTTGCAATAACTACAATGATAATAATGCAAACAACAAAACATACTCTGATAATATGATGCATTGTCCTTGAAACTGATATATATTTTAAGAGTATGTTTTTTGTTTGCATTCTGACCACAAGTATTGTGGTTATTGCAGACATGATTCCTTGTAAAAGGTTTCAGTTTGGTGTTTTAACATCTTAACACAGCTGTTTTGTTGCCAGAATAAAGGGGAAAACCTATTCTCATATTTTGGTACTGGCAAAGGAGGCCCCATGATGTAGATGCTCACCCCGAGCTCTCATTACTCTGATAGTGGCATTGTCTTTGTGCTGTGTTCGCCTTTTGGTGTCCTCTGGTCTAACACCGTTTGAGACGAGGCTCAAAAGAAAGCCGTCTCTGGTGTGGACCAATCAGTTTCAAGGACAATGCCAATTATATTATCAGAGTAATGTTTTTTGTTTGCATTCTGACCACAAACATTGTGGTTAATGCAGACATGATTCCTTGTAAGAAAAGGTTTCAGTTTTGTGTTTTAACATCTTAACACAGCTGTTTTGTTGCCAGAAAAAAAGGGGAAAACCTATTATCATATTTTGGTACTGGCAAAGGAGGCCCCATGAACTATATACAATGTTTTATTATATATTTTTGTATCACATTGAAAAAATGCAAATGGACAATATTCCGTCTGGGTTTCCCCTGTCGCTGTTTTGTCGTTCCTTGCTATGTCTCGTTTGTTTATTTTCACCCCCGTTACCCTAAAGTCAACGTATTCTGTGTCGCGTACAGCTTGCATCAGTCGGGAAACACAAAATGACCGTACAGGTGCGGGACGGTGCTTCCTTAGGAATCGATATCTGATGGTGAGTATCAGATGAGCTGCTTTAAATTTCCACACGGTCAGCCACCGCGTTGAGCTATCATTTGTGGCCAGGTCGCTTCTGAAAAAGAGCCACACAGCTCATCAATAGCACTGAGACCGGACCATGCAGAACGAAGCAAATGCCCGCCCCATCCACAAATACTTAAGCATAAAAATCACAGCGATGCTGATGATGCACTACGCCTCGCTGCTCGTGACGCGGTGATCGTGGCTCGACCACATGAATGTGAAATTGCAGTTCTTGTCGCTGCATCTACACGTCAGCCCAAAGGCATACGAAAGGAGAAGATCAATAGGATAGAGACCAGGCTGGCAAGCTACGCGCCACTAGTAACGTGTAAATGTAATCGGATTTTCCCGAGGACGGTTTCGGCAATCTCACGACGTAATCACGTCTTACGCACCTCCGATTAGCGTGGTTGGCTACGTACGGTGCGAAACAAGTTCAACATAATAGAGATATATATAAACGCGTCGTTAAAACCCGCCATCCACCCGCCACAGCCAATTAGTAAGGGGTTTGTCACGTAAACAGAACGTGGCCAATTCGTCACTATTACAGCACACCGGTGTGTTGGAGAGCCAAGCCACAACATTTACACATCTGAGTACGACGTTTCGCGAGTAATTACAACGAGCTTCGTCAGGCGGACAGCCAGATTTGTGGAGAAGTCCACCGGTTTCATTCCTTACAGTGAGGGAAAAAAGTATTTGATCCCCTGCTGATTTTGTACGTTTGCCCACTGACAAAGAAATGATCAGTCTATAATTTTAATGGTAGGTTTATTTGAACAGTGAGAGACAGAATAACAACAAAAATCCAGAAAAACGCATGTCAAAAATGTTATAAATTGATTTGCATATTTATGAGGGAAATAAGTATTTGACCCCTCTGCAAAACATGACTTAGTACTTGGTGGCAAAACCCTTGTTAGCAATCACAGAGGTCAGACGTTGCTTGTAGTTGGTCACCAGGTTTGCACACATCTCAGGAGGGATTTTTTTCACTCCTCTTTGCAGATCTTCTCGAAGTCATTAAGGTTTCGAGGCTGACGTTTGGCAACTCGAACCTTCAGCTCTCTCCACAGATTTTCTATGGGATTAAGGTCTGGAGACTGGCTAGGCCACTCCAGGACCTTAATGTGCTTCTTCTTCAGCCACTCCTTTGTTGCCTTGGCCGTGTGTTTTGGGTCATTGTCATGCTGGAATACCCATCCACGACCCATTTTCAATGTCCTGGCTGAGGGAAGGAGGTTCTCACCAAAGATTTGACAGTACATGGCCCCGTCCATCGTCCCTTTGATGCGGTGAAGTTGTCCTGTCCCCTTAGCAGAAAAACATCCCCAAAGCATAATGTTTCCACCTCTATGTTTGACGGTGGGGATGGTGTTCTTGGGGTCATAGGCAGCATTCCTCCTTCTCCAAACACGGCGACTTGAGTTGATGCCAAAGAGCTCCATTTTGGTCTCATCTGACCACAACACTTTCACCCAGTTGTCCTCTGAATCATTCAGATGTTCATTGGCAAACTTCAGACGGGCATGTATATGTGCTTTCTTGAGCAGGGGGACCGTGCAGGCGCTGCAGGATTTCAGTCCTTCACGGCGTAGTGTGTTACCAATTGTTTTCTTGGTGACTATGGTCCCAGCTGCCTTGAGATCATTGACAAGATCCTCCCGTGTAGTTCTGGGCTGATTCCTCACCGTTCTCATGATCATTGCAACTCCACGAGGTGAGATCTTGCATGGAGCCCCAGGCCGAGGGAGATTAACAGGTCTTTTGTGTTTCTTCCATTTGCGAATAATCGCACCAACTGTTGTCACCTTCTCACCAAGCTGCTTTGCAATGGTCTTGTAGCCCATTCCAGCCTTGTGTAGGTCTACAATCTTGTCCCCGACATTCTTGGAGAGCTCTTTGGTCTTGGCCATGGTAGAGAGTTGGGAATCTGATTAATTGATTGCTTCTGTGGACAGGTGTTTTTTATACAGGTAACAAGCTGAGATTAGGAGCACTCCCTTTAAGAGTGTGCTCTTAATCTCAGCTCATTACCTGTATAAAAGACACCTGGGAGCCAGAAATCTTTCTGATTGAGAGGGGGTCAAACACTTATTTCCATCATTAAAATGCAAATCAATTTCTAACATTTTTGACATGCGTTTTTCTGGATTTTTGTTGTTGTTATTCTGTCTCTCACTGTTCAAATAAACCTACCATTTCTCTGTCAGTGGGCAAACGTACAAAATCAGCAGGGGATCAAATACTTTTTTCCCTCACTGTATATAGAGGCGCAGATGTGGTGACCACGCTCGTGCGCTCCCCTTGTTCAACACTTACATACATAGAGTCTCGTCATGTGACGACAATTGCATCTCTCGCCATCGCTGTGGGGCTGCACACGCGCCGGGAAGGCAGCAGCAGCGAGGAGCGGTGCTACCAAACAATTGCCCAAGTTCTGCGGTTCTCTACATATCGAGATGTTTTCGTAACAAGCGTGGGTGGGTGGTTGGGGGGGGGGGTGACATGCAAACTCCACGTGGAAAATCGCGCCCGAGTCGGGGATCGAACCCGAGTCCCTTCTCGCTGGTGAGGCGTTAGTGTCACCACTTGCGCGATCACCAGTTCACACCCAGTCCCCTGCAGTACAGAACTCAGACTGTGTGCGGTTTACACTGGCCGAACAATATTACATTTACAGTGTATATCATCATAAGACGCTAAGAGAGGAGAGGGGGGGGGGGGGGGGATGCACATTCAGTCGTGTAACATGAATACACGGTCGATATTCACTCAATTTTCCATCAGAGCTTTCCCCTTCTAACATCATCCTCGCGTGATTGCCAATCAATTCACATCCGCAGTGTGCGCGCGTTTGTCTTCGGGAGGGAGCGGTGGCGCAGTGGTTAGCGCACTGCGCCCTGAATCCAGTAACCTGAGGTTCGATTCTCGTTCACGGCCAACGCCAGTGACGAACATCTCTGATCCATTACCGGGCTTTCCCGAGGTCGCTTCAGCCTTAAATGAGCACACGGCGCGATATGCAAACATCACCACCAGAGAGACAAAGGCGGCTGGCCGTGGTTCTGACCACCCACCCACCCCTTCGTGTGCCGTGCCGACCTTCATAGGTGCTGCTACTCGCTAACAACACTTGCCAGCACTTGCCCCGACAGTCTGTTAAAGCTTATACGTGTGTAGGGTATGCCCTGGCGGCCTGAGTTTGATATCTGGCCATGATTCATGACCGTGGCAGTAAACGCTCGAACACTCGAGTTTTTCCTGCCACGGGCATGAATCGTGCATCTCGGAAATGAGCTGGCGGTGGTGTTGCTCGCTGTCCTGGCTTTTCCCGGCATCGTCTTCGTGTCGAGGGTGAGTTTTCCCCCGGGGCGTTCAGGGGTCCCGTGTTGTTACCAGTTGCGTAGTCGTAATGTTATGTACGCTGAACTTCTCTCGCACCGTACGCAGCCAAACCGTGCTAATCGGAGGTGCGGGCGGGAACAACAAATACTAAACACAAAAAGCACTTCCAGGAGGTGTTAGCGTGGCGCGCGTGAGCCCGCGGGTGTTACCGGCGAGAGAAGGATCTGCGGCACGGGCATCCACGGTCTCACGGAGATCTCCATCGCCTCCACGAGGGCCGTGATGGGCAGCTCGGGTCCCGGCGTCTCCACGCAGCTCCTGGGCAGCAGTCGGCACAGCAGGGAGGACACCTCCACGCTGGTCCCACAGCCCATTGGCCCCGAGGCCCCAACAACCCCACCTCCTCCACGCAGAGACGAAGGCGTCGACGATGACGACGACAACGAAGATGAAGCGGGATGATCAGCTGTGCCGTGCCAGGCGGTGTGACCAGCTCATGGGAACCGAGTCCGGACCCTCGCGATGAGACACACGTGGGGGGCACGGTGAGTCCGCGGATGTCTCGCGTTGGGTTCCCTGCCCCCCCCCCCCCCCCCCGGGCTAAAGTCTGAGTCCCACGGGAGGAAAACGCAAGGAAAGTTCGGGGCCAATTGCGAGGCCGAAGCTAGGGGCTTGGCTCGTGGGCCAAGTGCCGATTTCCGTCGTCTACGACGTCGCCAGCTATCTGGAGCCCGGCCTAAGATGTCATCCCTTGCGCTCAGATGAAAACGTTCCCTGGGCCAAGAGTGAGCGCGTTAGTTCGTGACGCTGAGCTAAGGGTCTTCAAGCTGACGCCGAGTTTCCTGGAATTGTCAGACGGCCACTCAGCTCAGAAGCGGGTCCTCCAAGGAGGATCCGGAGTTCGCCGGACTGAACATTAGTTTCAAGTTTGCGTTGTTTTATCCAGACTGCTTGTGCACGGGAGTAGGAGGACCCCGCGGATCAAAGTGCCACGTTCAGGCACCGCAGTTGGTGGCGCCGAGTTGAGAAGAGGGGCAGTCTTGAACGTTGAGCCGGGATGAGTGGCGCACCTCTGATTAGCACGGCTACTGCGTACGGTGCGAAAGAAGTTCAACCTACGCAATGTACGCACATCACGAGAAGAGAGTTGGCGACATGGCACAGCGCTTCGCCGCTCGCTGTTGCAGAGGTGCGACGGTTTCGACTCAGGCGTCCGCCCTGGTGCAGTACTGCGGTGTGCATAGGCCGCATAGGGCGACGCGGCGTCTGCTTCGGAGTGCGCGCGAAAGATCCCGTGACCATATCGGCATAGAATAGTCGTGCACTGTAGCCCATGAGAGTGTGCGCGCGCGCGCGTGTGTGTGTGTGTGTGACCACGGGCACTGTTAAAGTTGGGTTCAATTAAATTTCGACTTAAAACTTTCGTGACTGCAGGAATTCATATTCTTTGGTTCTTTCGGTAAAGTCGCGTAGATAGAGAGAGAGAGAAAAAAAAAACTTTTAAAAAGTGAATAAAAAATATGTATTTATTTAAACAAAAAAATGTATTAACTTTATTTCTGTGCAACGGCTCTAACGGGGTCGTCCTTACCGGTGGTAGTGTACGCATGGGAAGAAGCCTCTCTGTGTGCATCGCCTGTGCACGCGTGGTGCATCTCGCACGTATCGCTTCGGTCACCCACGTCGCCCCGCAGTGGAAAGAAGCCGTGCAGGGCGGGCTCTCGACGTCAGCCTTGGGTGAGCGACGTTCCGCACACACGCCTTGCACGGGGCAGGTGGGGGGGGGGGGACGGCGGAGCGCGGGGACTCAGCTCTTCATTGTGATGATGATGATGTGGCGAAATCAACCTCTAGGATACAAACAGCTGCACGCATGCCGCATTGATTGAAAATGTATTTCTTAAAAAAAGAAATCGCGTTATTGTCTGTTTAGTTTGTCGCCTTTCCGCCCCACGGATCGTCGACGCAGAGGATCGCGGTTCGAAATGCCAGCCGCCCCGTTTAATCGGCGCTACTCGCTAACAACACTTGGCCCCAACAGTCTGTTAAGGCGATACGTGGAGGGGGAAGAGGGGGGGATATGTATATCTTTGTGTGTATTAACCGGGACTGCCGCGCTCACAGTTGTTGGGGCATTAAAGATCCTAGGGAGTAAAAAAAGTCGCTTTGTGTGTAGACCGGGGGACTCTTGGCTCACCACAGTCGGGCAACAACAATTGGAAGAGTTGGTTAACGCGGAAAAACGACTCGATCGGGATGACAGACGCAGCGGTAAGCTCCCACCACCCACCTCACCTCCCTCTTCCACCTCCGACTGCGAGAACCTCGTGGTAAAATAGTCGCGAGACTTTCCTGGGTAGACGAGAATAGCGAGAAGCAGCGCTAAACAATCATCGATCTGTTGTTGGTGGCCACGGGGACACCGCGGACTGCACAGAGAGCTCAGCTGTGCCGAACAACAGCGGCTTAGTCTGGCAAGGTCAGTCTGTGACCCTCTCTTGCTCACAGCTTTCAGCAGCAGCCACCACGACCACCACCACGACAACTACCTTCCCACCACCCACCCACCACGACATACCACCGCCCACCAACCACGAATAGCACCATCCACCTACCACGACCACCACCACCCACCCACCACGACCACCACCACCCACCCACCACGATCACCACCGTCCACCACCACCCACCCACCACCACGACCACCACCCACCCACTACGACCACCACCCACCCACCACGACCACCACGACCACCACTACCCACCCACCACGACCACCACCACCCACCCACCACGATCACCACCCACCCACCACGACTACCACTCACCCACCACGACCACCACCACCCACCACGAGCACCACCGCCCACCCACCACGACCACTCCAATCACCACTACCCACCCACCACGACCACCACCCACCCACCACGACCACCACCACCCACCCACCACGATCACCACCCACCCACCACGACTACCACTACGACCACCACTACCCACCCACCACGACCACCACCCAGCACGACCACCACAATCACCACCCACCCACCATGACCACCACCACCCACCCACCACAATCACCACCCACCCACCATGACCACCACCACCCACCCACCACCGCCGTGGCTTTTCTCTCACCGCACTGATGTCAAACGCAGCCGCAACCTTGGCACGGCCCCTCGGCACCGAGGGAGGGGAGGGGCTCTTCACGCAGTCAGCCCACGCCGCATCGCTGCTGTGCAGTGGCGGGTTGTTTGTGTGTTGTTGTTGTTGTTTCTTTCTTCTTCCTCTCCTCTTTCCTTTCCCGAGTCGTGTTTCTTCATCGGTGTCGACGAGGTGGGCCCGCCGAGGAGGCGCCGCTGGAGGTGGTGGGTTGTGGTTGATGCTGGTGGTGGTGCTGTTGGTTGTGGTTGATGCTGCTGGTGGTGCTGTTGGTTGTGGTTGATGCTGGTGGTGGTGCTGTTGGTTGTGGTTGATGCTGGTGGTGGTGCTGTTGGTTGTGGTTGAGGTGGTGCTGGTGGTGGCGGTGCTGGTGGCGGTGCTGTTGGTTGTGGTTGATGCTGGTGGTGATGCTGCTGATGATGCTGGTGCTAGTGGTGGTGGTGCTGGTGGTGGTGCTGTTGGTTGTGGTTGATGCTGGTGGTGATGCTGCTGATGCTGGTGCTGGTGGTGGTGCTGCTGATGATGCTGGTGCTAGTGGTGGTGGTGCTGGTGGGGGTGCTGCTGGTGGTAGTGGTTGATGTTGGTGCTGGTGATGCTGTTGCTGCTGGTGGTGCTGGTGGTGCTGCTGCTGGTGCTAGTGGTGCTGGTGGTGGTAGTGTTGCTGCTGCTGGTGCTTGTGCTGGTCGTGATGCTGGTCTCGATTGATGAAGCACCAACGAAACAAGATAATGTCGTTGCCCGCTGCTGGACGGGACGCGAGACGGTGATGCACACGACGGCTCTCTCGCGAGGCTCGAGGAAGGCTGGTAGCAGCAGCAGCAGCAGCGGCGGCTCTGCGTGTGTCCGTGAGTGTTGGTGTTGTCCGCCTTCTGACTCGGGCCGATGTGAATGCGTCACTGCAGGGGCGAGGGAGAAGCTCAGCGACAGGCAGCGTCACCTCCACCCCGGGGGTGACTCGTCCGAGTTGGCATCACAGCGAGTCACTGCTTCTAAACAACAACAAACAAACACAGCGACTCGACGCGTTCGTCATCTGTGTAGCGCCGCGCGTGTGTCCTTAAAAAGGGAGAGGGTTGGGGAGAGGCGGGGGGGGGGATATCGTGTAGGCGACGTTTCGAGCAATGGCACCTGCTTAAAGTCGGTACACCTTTGGGGAAAGAGACGCGAATTAACACGCGGCATCGGCTGCGGTTGGAAATGAGTGCGTGGGGGGATGGGGGTTTGTTGTAAAAAAAATCGAAGCCCCCATTCACAAAGACAAATATCCCCCGGATAGCCTTTAATAGACTGTTGGGGCAAGTGTTGTTAGCGAGCACCTATGAAGGCCGGAACGGCACGCGAGGGGATGGGGTGGCCAGCACCACGCCCGACCGCCTTTGTCTCCCAAGTGGCGATGTTAACACACCGCTCCAGTTACTCATTTGAGGCTGAGCAGACCTAGGGGAGGCCCAGGACCGGCTCGGATAATCGTCACTGGGTGTTGGTGGCCGTGAGCGAGAATCGAACTCGGGTTCGTTGCGCAGCGCGCTAACCGCTACACCACCGCTCCCCCATTCACACAAACACACACAAACACACGCCGAAAACAATTGTAATCTCTCTTAACAGCTTACGGCACAGCAGCGAGTGCTGTTACGTGTAAATACACACACACACCCCGTGTGAGCAGTGCGCTTCAGCTGCACAGCAGGCGAGCCTTGACGAACAAAAGCCAGCCGAACCCAACCCTCACCCAAAGTCGAACCCCCCATCGCCCCCCACGGCAGGGAGCAGCGAGACGCGTCCGCAGACAGGCGGCGGACTGCAGCAGTCTCTGTACACAGACAGAGACAAAGGTCTCCCGTATAGCCTCGACGGGCTGATGGAGCAAGTGCTGTTAGCGAGTAGCACCGATGAAGGCGTGCGCGGCACACGAGGGGGTGGGGTGGCCAGCAGCCACGCCCGGCCGCCTTTGTCTCCCCCAGTGACGATGTTGACACGCCGTACCGGGTACTAAAATTGAGGCTGAGTCGACCTAGGGGAGGACCGGGACCGGTTCAGATAATCGTCACCGGTGTTGGCGGCCGTGAGCGTGAATCGAACCCGGGTCGCCGGGGTTCGTAGCGCGGCGTAGCGCTCACCGCTACTCTGCCGGCTCCCCCCTTGACACGCACACACACACAACAGACACACACAGACACATAATGCAGCCGTCATTGTATTCACTGTTGTGCAGTCCACACCGCTCGCTCTGTAGCAGCAGCAGCAGCTTCTGGGGTCTGCTGTCTGCCTGCGCAGAGGGAGGAGAGACAGAGAGAGAGAGGAGTCGTGGATTGGCGGTGACTTCACGGACGCGTTGCGCGCATGGAGTGGTGGGGGAGGTGCTGAGATGAAGATGTTGGTTGGGTGGTGAGTTGCGTGGGGTGAGCCGTGGGGTGAGCCGTGGGGTGAGCGAGTGCCCCGTGCCACGGGGCACACAGCGAGTTTGAGATGCACCACACAAGGAGAGGTGATGTACACAGTATCGTCTACATATATACCAAAGGTAAGGATTGCCCGTATAGCCTTTAACATACTGTTTTGGGGCAAGTGCTTTGAGTGAGTAACCTATTAAGGCCGGAAACGGCACATGGGCAACGTAGGTGGCCACGCCCGGCCGCCTTTGTCTCCCTAGTGCTGATGTGTATACACACCGCACCGGGTATTCAGTACTCATTCGAGGCTGAGTCGACCTAAGGGGGAGGCCCGGGGCGGTTCGGATTTTCCACTCATCCGTTGGCCGTGGGCGGGAATCAAACTCGGATCGACGGGGTTCGTCGTTCTCAGCGCAGTGCGCTAACCGCTCCCCCACCGCTCCCCCCCCCCCCCCCCCCACCACCCCCCACGCTACCCCAGGCTCGTGTACGCAGCCCTCCGTGGCCACTGCCGCGAGTCGCCGCGCGTGTTGCACCTCCGCGATCAGCACGGTTGGCTACGTACGGCGCGAAAGAAGTCCAACGTGCACGCGCACTCCGCTGACGTCCCTCCAGTGGTGCACGCAGCGACGATTTCATTCCCCGACTCCGTCGCTTCTCCATCCCCGCATCCCAAGCGGCCCGCGCCTCATCCCCTCCCTCCCCTCCCTTCATCCCTCCCACCCTCCCACCCTCCCCTCCTCTCTCTCTGCGTCTCTCTCTCAAGGACACTTTTGCTGACCCCGTGTCTGCAGCTCACGCGACACGATCTTTTTTTTTACATTCGCAGTCTGCATCTTGCGCCCGAACCGCTGCACTTAACAAGGGGGTTTGTGGCGGCTGGAGTGGGTGGAGGGGGTGTCCTCTTGTGTTGCATTAATTATAACACATCGGGCTGGTCATCAACATCGGCCTGTCGTGGTTCAGGCGAGCCGAGCTGACTGAGAACACGTGCATGGCGCAATACGATCCGTGCGGAGATTTGCTTTGCGTCGCTGCTGAAACGACGGTACGGGCATCCCCAGAACGACGCGTGGCTGATTTGGACGTGCAAAAAAATATATAGATACTTTTATATACGTTTTTCATAATGGTAATTGCATCCAGCATCATCGGGCGAATTACAAGGACGACCTTCCAGCTACCTCTGATCTCTGAAACCTGACGGGTTCAGTGATGGCGTCATCTTTCTCGATTTAAGACCGGAGGCTAGAGGATCGCTTCACGTATTCTGGCAGATCGGCCGATGATGCTGGATGCAATTACCGGCGAAACGGCGGACTGCTCAGATTGTAAATGTTGTGGATTTACTCTCCAACACACCGGTGGGCTGAAGTAGTAAACTAATTGGCGCGTTGTTTACGTGACAAACCTTAAAGGCTGTGTCGGGTGGTGAAGGGTTACGACACATTTATACTTACGCGATTTAACCCAAACCCTCTATTATAAATTATATTGGTCGCGAAAGCCTACGTGTTAAACTATATATTTTTTTGTTTAATCTGGAGGGACATCTACAGGATACAAAAAATTCGCAGTATTAAGATTTTTTTTTAAAAATTAACCTAACAAAGACAAAGATCCCCCGTATGCCCTTAACAGACTGTTGGGGCAAGTGCTGTTAACGAGTTGCACCTATGAAAACCGGCACGGCAATGTTTACACACCGCACCAGGCTCTCATTTGAGGCTAAGTCGACATAGGGGAGGTCCAGGAGCAGTTCAGATAATCTTCATTGGTGGTGGCCGTGAGAGGGAATCCATTCCCTGTCAACCCACATGGTTTACCCGTATTCTTGTACAAGGAAATTTAGCTAAAATAAATTTTTGTCTATTTGTTTGTATTTCTCCCTTGTGATGGGACTTTGTAGGATGAACGTTGAGATATATAAGGGGCACGGTGTTAACAATAAGGTCTGACTTGGTCTGTAATAAGGTAGGGCACTGATAAGGGGT